TCCAGGGTCTTAAAATTGCTAAGTTTGTAGACCCCTGTTCTAGAACAATGTTTCTCAAACTTTGCAACTTTAAGATGAGTGTATTTTAGTATGCTTTCTGAAGAATTCTGGGAGTTGAAGTCTACCCATTTTAATGTTGCCAAGGTTGAGAAAGCTCTGTTCTCCAGCATGAGGGATGGATAATCCACTTGATTGGGTTTCCTGAAGTCCCTTGTACCCAATAAGACTAAGTCTGAGATAGCCACGCCTCCTGCCTGGCCGCACATGCCCAGTTCTGACTTAGTCTATACCCAGACAAGGCGTGTTGTTTCTCTGCTCTCCAGACTCAGGTTTTATTTAACTATTTTGGATATTTCNATTTTGCATCATTTTTGAAGATTCTGGTGAAGTGGGTGGCTGGTTTAGTTCCCCCCCCTTGTCTTTTGGGGAGGGCAGAACCAAGTAAAATAATTCCCCCTGTGGTTCCCAGCCTTACCTATGTGACATTGCCTCTGGCAATACGGATTTTAATCCTTTTTTCTCAGACTGATTACCTTGTCTTTCATTAGGACGTGGGTCTTAAATCTGGGCCTTGTCCCTAGCCTGTTTGTTGTTGATCCATCCTCAGACTTTGTTCTGAAGGGTCTCAGGCCTAATCCTTGTTTTGGATTGATCACCAGAATTAATATTTCAGCCTTCATCAATCCCATCCTCAGTCTTGTGCTGAAGGGATAGAGGCTGTTGTTTTCTCCTTGGCAGGGGGGCCGTTTTTGGTTCCGTCCAGCCTTTGCTACCTGGTTATCCCACCCTCAGACTTGTGCTGAAGGGATTCAGGTTTTTGTGCAAGGAGTTCATACTGGTTTTCCAGTCTGCTGGTTCTTTTCACTTGATACAACCATCTTCAGTATTGGGCTGAGAGATTTAGGGACACAATCTCCCTGATTGACTCTCAGGGGCGTTTTTCACTGGTTGTCACCTGTCCATTCAACACTATTTTTCTTTTGCTACCTTTTCAGTCTCACTTATAGATCAGTAATGGCGGAAGAGTCACAGCCCGATCTCGCTCCGGCACCTACCAGTCCTCCTGCTAAGCGAAGTCGCAAATCATCAAAGACTGAGGCAGCAGACAGGCTCAGGGTCAAGGCAAAAGCTGTCTCAAGTAAGGCTCCATCCAAAAGGGCTGAAAAAGACGCAGCCAGGAGACATCAGGCTCTTGAGAGACAGATATCCAGGGCTCAAAAAGCTGCTTTGCCACAGCAGGTACCGGTTGTCCCTCAACCTCCCGGGGCTTCTCCTTTCGGCCCTCAGGTTACCACAATTGCACAGGTACACAGACCATTGTCTCCGGATGGAGGCTCCCAATCTTTAGTAGACAATCCCATGGCGTCCAATCCAAATCCGACATGGGGATCTCCTCAGCCTACCCCTCCCCCTCCTCCTTCGGCCACGTTCACTCCCATGGCTGCTGGTCTCCGTTCTGAGCAGCCACAGACGCTTGCTCCAGAACAATTGCAATCTATGCTTACGCAGGTCTTGGGATGTCTTTCATCTTTACAGAAATCTCAACATTCTACACCCTCACAGGGTAAATCTCCCACACCAGATTACGCCTGTTCCATTCCTTCTGAACATTCCTCTCTGAGCGGAGAATATTATTCC